GACCGATAAATAAACCCATTTTTCTCTTTTATTGAATAAATGAGAAGTTAATATTGTTTAAAATATTTTTATTATTTTTTACAATACATGTAGGTTATTCAGGAATGTTTATCATTAAAGCCAGGTATTATTAAGATTAAATATTATTATAGGTACATGTATTCGTTAAACATATGAAGAAACTTTTTAAACACTTTTTTGTGATTTTGTAATACATTAAAACAGTTGATTTTTGAACTTTCAATACTTAATCAAAAGAATAAATGTATCAGCTTTCAATTAATACATTTTTTTATAATTTTCAATTGAAAATTAATACTACTAAGCATTTCATGACATCCATTTCAATTTCGCGTTTTCTTTCATTTTCATTGTTTTCCAATTTTTGTTAGTAATCATTTATTTGTTATGAATTAAATTTTTATTAAATTCCATATTTTAATTTGCCATTAATAAAATTGTATTTGTATTGTATATTTTTGAATCACCCTGTTCTTCAATTGATTTGTTCCTTTTGAAATATGCGAAAATACGCCATAAAATATTTTGCGCATACTTTGTGATCGTGTTTGGTTTATTTTCGTTACGGAATTTCTTGAGTCGGTCGCCGTGCTCAAAGCCCGCGATAGAAGCTATGTAATACCTCAAAAATTAAAAGGGTTTGCTACTTAAATAGGAAACATTTTAGATAATATAATATTCATTCAAAAAATTTGAACAAAAAAACGATATTAAGAGTTTGATCATCGAATTTCTCCTGCATTTGTGAAAATAATAAGAATTTATATATGTACAAGTATATAGAGTACTCACTCATTTTCTTTCACTATTTTTTCATCACTTTCTTTCACTATTTTTTCATCACTTTCTTCATTAAAAATGCACTTTGTTTATTCATATTTAAAATACTTAATACACAAATTTTCGAGTACTCCCTGAACATGCCTTTGCCTACAAGCGTCTTTTTGCACCGATGGCAAAAGTTAAAAATCATAAATTGAACAACTTTCTGATGTTCCTTCTGGAAGGGAAAAGTGTCAACCCCGCAAACCCGGAAACATAGAAAGAAAAAAGACAAGAATGGGAACTTCTTGTTAATTTAAAATATTTTAAAATTCTAAAATATTTTTCCATGGCTCGCAAAATCTGCGTCGATATAAATATATGCATGTTCATACATAAGCATTTCGCATGAATCAGTTAGTGTACATATTTACATACATATATTTCATGTAGGCAGATATGCAAACATTATGCGTGTAGGGTTTATTTTCGTTAGCTGGATACTGACGGGGACTATGGAGAAGAAAAAATGTTCAAGTTTCCGAACGTTCGAGTTATCGTGTGTACGAATGCACCCTACATACGTATACAAATGTATAGAGTTATCCAATAAGAGTGATATTTTTTTTTTCAAAAAAATAAACACTAGTTGTTAAGAAATGTCAAATGTTTTTTTATTTAATATGAAGTATAATCGACACAATGTAGTTCTGAATATAACATCATTCAAATGGCCTCCACAACTGTTTTTGCAGGTACGAATTCGATGAGACCAATTTTCGAGTACTTCCAAAGACTTCAAATAACCCTACAAGAAATAGTCTAATGGTTCCAACTTCTTGGAAGCCATTCAATGTCAAAATTTGAAATGTTCGAATCTCAAAACTTTTCTTACTATAATTCGGTTGCTGCACGAGCTGTGTGGCATGTAGCCCGGCTTTATTGGAACCAGATGTTGACAAGAACAACTTCTTCCATTTGCGGCCTTAAAAGGTTGATTATCATCGATCTATACCGCTCCCCATTGTCAGAACTGTGTCATCACCTTCATTTCAAAAGAAGTACTAACCGATGATTCCATCAAACCAAAAATCACACCAAACTATTAATTTAAGTGAATGTAATGGTTGTTAATGTATAATTTGTGGATTTTCTTCGCACCAGAATCGACAGTTTTGTGTCTTTTCCGCACCACTCAGATGAAAGTGAGCCTCATCGGAGAAGATGATTTTCTAAAAAAAATCGTTATTCTTTTTTAAGTTGTTCCATGTTGTCCAATGGCAAAAATGCACGAAAAGTTTCTGTTAATATAATTACTTTACTGAAATGAATTCGGGCAACTATAACATACCTATGTTATATTTACACACATGAACTGTAACTATGTAATTGCTGTTTCTTTAGCTTCACTTGCTACCTATATGTTCTTAAACGAACACGGCGAAAGTCGTGCCATTTAACGATTTCAAAATTTTTAACAGGGTATGGGCTCAAAAGCTCAAGGCTGCATACATAAATTTTTTTTCAAGCCTATGGACGAAGGCATTATAATTCTCAACGACTCCATACCTGTTGACTCTGCAATCGTTTCGGATTCCACTGAGAATATAATTGACAGCATTGGTTCTGACTTCGAGATTCCAGCTGAGCTTCAAAATTCTGAGGAAGTGAGCATGAGCGAATCAAGAGTTTTCCATATTCATTGATTCGATGGGCAAAACTATATATTATGGCACCGTCAAATGGAAATATATATGGCTGAAAATAAATTAAAGCAGCAGCGCAGCTGGTCGAAATTAAAAGTAGTGCACACGGAGAAAAGTGAACAGTCTGCCAAAGTTCTCCTTCAAAAGTTCATGAGCATTAAAATGGGCGATAACGAGTTGATCGTTGATTTTGCCTCAAGTGTGATTGGTAAAGTACTGAGCAGTTTACCGATTAAATTCGATCATTTACGTTCACCATGGTACGCAGAACCTCGTGACCAACAGAGCACAGAACAATTGACAGGACATCTAGTTAATGAAGAAAATCTAATGAGTTCACCCATAAATGGTAAGGACAACAACAAAAATTCCCCGAATGTAACAACAATGTGCCGAAAGGCAAGAGCTATTACTGCTTAAAATAAGGCCGTTGGGCAAGAGTATGCAAAAAACGTCAGAGAGATCAACGAAGCAGAGAAGAAAGAAGAAGTCAACTCCATTAGCTTACACTTCAGAATGAAGCAATTGGCAATAAACGTCAAACGAATAACACTGTTGAAAATGCATATTTATTCAATGTTAACAAATCAACGAATTGCAAGAAGAATGAAAATACTTTCTACGCAGAATTAGGCGCCTCTGATCATATGTCGTTCCAGAGGGAGCTGTTCACAAACTTTCAAGATAAATTGTCTGAGAATATACAAGTAAGAGTAGGCGATGGCCGTCGTTTACAAGTGATAGGCACAGGAGACTCCAAAATACAAGGCAAGCCAAATGTTGTTTTTATTATGAAAAATGTATTTCTTAACTACTCCGATTTTTAGTATTTATCGGAAATATTGCAACTTAAAACAAGAAAATACGTTAACTTCGGTTGCACCGAAGCTATAATACCCTTCACAAAGACAAAGGTTCCTTACAAGCACTTGATTCCGATCTAATTTCGTGAATATACCTCGTCCAATAAAACAATTTTCAGTGCAATCACTTTCCGATCTATACAATTCCTTCGGAGATTGCATTATTGTCTTAAATGATAATCAATGCCAAATTTCGTGAAGATATTACGTCAAATAAAAAAGTTTCCCATACAAGCACTTGATTTCGATTGTTCAATTTGTATGGCAGCTGTATGCTATAGTGGTCCGATATTGGTCGTTCCGACAAATAAGCAGCTTCTTAGTAAGCAAAATATAGGAGCAAAATTTCAGATCGATAGCTTGAAAACTGAGGGACTAGTTCGTATATATTCAGACAGACAGACATGGCTAAATCAACTCAAGTCATAATGCTGATCATATATATATCATATATATATATAATATATATGTTATAGGGTCTCCGATATGGTAATACGTGTTTTGAAAAGTAGAGATAGACCCGAAATCGGTTTTAGGTAAATACATATCTCACGAACTAAAAAGTCTCTATCAGGGAGCATTTTATCGCACTGTTTGAAAACTTCTGAAATCGAATACTAACGACGCCCTGTCCCCATTTAACGATTATATGATTTACTCATAATGCAACATATATTCGATACATTTAATTTACAAAGATAAACTTTAAACCATACATGTATATATTTGATAGGGTCTCCGACGTTTCCTTCTGGGTGTTACCAACTTCGTGACAAACTTATTATAAATATATATTTATAAATGAAGATATATATTGTACATAAGTGTGTAAGTAGGTGTACCGAATGCAAGTAGCGTAGTAGTTGCTTAAAATTCTCAACTAATAACGAATATTCAAATTAATAAAATTTTCTAGTTTCATTAGTATTATAAATAGCAAGCAAGTATTTTTGTTTTAATTTTGTTCATTTTACCAATGTATTTAATAATGCACAGTAAAATGTAAAATTCGTTTACATCATAGCAAATTTTTTCACCCCAACTCAACTCTGAGAAAAGTGTTACGTGTTGCACACAGCTTTAATAAGAATATTAGTATAAGTTTTCACCACACTTGGTTCAATGTGTTTTGATACAACAAATACTTATTATTTTAACGAACAAATACTTATAAGTACATTCATCAGATATTTACTTATAATACTTGTATTAACGAATAAAATACGTATCTATTATTACTTAATACTGATAAACATTTGATTATTTTATCAAAAGAACTGCTCTGCAATGGCAATGTCGTTTAAATGTAAGGCACAATATAAATGTGCAGAATTAGTATAAAATAAGAACACTGTGATATACTGGTAAACAATCCAACAATTGACTGACGACTGCTGTCAAACTCCACGCTACATTCATATGTATGTATGCAGTCTTATAAAATATATTCGACCGAGCGACCGCAGAAATATAAAACATTTATGGCGCGCGAACGTTAATGTGCGTACCTCCCGGCTGCGCACAAGCCCAACATGAAATTAGTGCTCGTGTCTGTAAATATAAACATGTACATATGTATATACCATCTGAGGGTTGGAATAAACGACCAGCACGCAACAGCTGAGCTGCAAGTAAAAGAAATCAACAAAGCCAATGCGGCAATGACTCGTTGTGTACTTGAAAGGCTGGACGCAACATCAGCAGTTGAGAAAAGAACGAGTTCGGCGATGAACGTGCGTACGGATAAAATTTAGATATTTTGCTGCTTCAAGTTTTAAGTTAATCGGATGTTACGGAGTGTTGTAGTGAAATAATACGCCTGCACAGGAAATGTGATATAAGTCGTATCTTATCAAATGAGTGTCCAAACTTATCCCTAAAAAATTTAAATTTATGTATATACTCAGAACTGATATTCAGTGAAAATGGTCCACTAATATAGTACGGTGGTTGCCATAGAGACAAGAAATTGTTATAACGTTCTGAACTTGAAGTGTGTGATCAATGAACCTATAAATACCAAGTATATTTCCTTACTACATTTCATTGGGCAAGACCATAAAAGTAATGTTATTGTACAAAAATAATATATTTTTCAAAATTATTGCCGTTTTTTTATTATCTTAGCATACACCCCATACATTTCTTTTTTATTGCCTAAATTTAATATTTTTTGAAAAGTGTCCGCACTCATTAATCTTAAAGCACGCTCCAATTATCAAGTCCGTCTTTTTTTATTCTGTAAATTCTGCATATGCACCTGTCTATGCTTTGTTTTGAAAATGTGTTTCCATCACACTCAAATACCCTTGTAAATATAATATAGCATAAATTACTAGCCAGATGCATCCCTTCTCCAAATAGATGCTTGATATATACATACATACACAGCGATTAGATATGCACATACAATATAAATGTTCATACTCGAATACATTGGCTTGTAGAAAAGCAAAATAGGCAATAGCTACATTTGATGGAAGATCTTAAAAGTACATTTTTATATTGGTTTTAATAATTATTTAAAATACTTAAAAATATGCATTAAATCTTAAAAAGTGAAAGCAATATGATTTAAAAATTTGTAAACTTAAATAAGAGTAGGAACAAATATAAATACTATGTCAATATTATACGTTTATACGAAAAATTCTTGTTCGTGAGCAATTAAAATATCCTTAGTAAATTTTAACTGGTTATATAAATATATAATACTTGTCGAATAAAACAATTTATTAAAGAGTTAGTTTATTTAACTTAAACGTTTTAACACTGAGGAGTAATAATTTTTTTTAAATATATTCAAAACTGATCATCAGGAAATCTATTATACTATATATAAAAGAACTACTGCGTACCATATTTTTAACTTTATTTTTCTTTGATAAACAAAAACTAATAGTTTTGTTCCGGAATGAATTCGATACATTTTTCATATTTACAACTTATATGATACTGGCTGACAGGTGATTGTATTGCAAACGAATTGTCGGCTTCTAGATGAGTTTTTAGTTTACGAGTATACTGTTTTAACTAATTGATTTAACTGCATGGGTAGGATTGTACTAATGAGTGAGAACATAGATAGATAGAGGTTGTGAATTAGTATGCATTTAAATGTGACATCTAAACATAAACATATTTGTATGCACATAAACATCCTTTTGTTTGTAATGCATACATTTATAAACGAAAATGATGCGCTGCGAAAATTAATTAAGCAACTACCCATACTTACTTTCACATCAGCAATTTCCTGAAACATGATTTTTTACCAATCATCTTAATTTTAGATGTCCTATAAATGGAAAATCTTCCAACATACTTAATTATTTTTATGTCACTATCGACCTAAATGAAATAAAAATGCACCTGCTGTGGCTCATCAGTAGTATGGGATTATCGCTGTTACACCTACAGCTCATCCAATGCAATGATATTGAACTGTTGAAGACTGGCATAGCGGGAAACAAAAATGAAAACAGCGTAGGAAATAATGACCACTTCAATAACAATTCCGGCGTAAATGTGAACGATCTTGCTTCAATAAATACTAATAATAGTATGCTGGGGACAATTTTTAGTGGAGGCGGAACTACAAGCAAAGATATAAATACTGATAATAATTTTGGTAAAGCGAATACGGGAGTATCTGTTAACTTTGAAACAGGATTAGGGGATCAAGGAAGTATAAAAATTGACAGTGACTTACCGCTAGCAGCAGTATCAGGACTAGGGCACGACACAGATTTTATTTCTACTGGTCAATTTAGAGGACATAAGCAAATCAAGTCTTATGGTCAACAATATGGCCACGCATTAGCAGGTTTGGCGAATTTGGGAATTATTATACCAAAAAGCAAAGGATCTAACCTTGAAGATTTTGCTCGCAATAGCGGAAGCCGTAAAATGCAAACAAAAATTGAAAGTGAAATCAATTTAATGGACTCAACAAATATAAGTGGTAGTAACGGAGGACAGAATACGTACCTGTAAGTATAATTTCTTTATTAATATAATAACTTACATTACTTTTACATTTGATAAAGACCAAAACAGAAAACTAACTGTGTTTGGTTTTATAAATAAAAATTACATCAGCAAAACATTGTTGCTTCGTACGTATCGTAATAATCGACATAGTCATAAGTTACTCAGAATTTTAAGATAAGTAAATGTGTACTTGTCCACTAATCCGTTCGTGCCGTGCAGAACATGTAAAACTTCAAATCGACCCCTGTGCGTGAGTTATGGTATGTCACAAAATCAAAATTCTACAGGAGGAGAGCTTACAAAATAAAACATTTTTTACTATATACTTTCGCAACATGTTGCTACAGAGTATAATAGTTTCGTTCACCTAGCGGTGGCTTGCAACACCTAAAACCACTAGAGATTGGTATTATAGTTGTATTTGTAAACATACATAAATTATACGGAAGCCAAGACGAGTTTAATGAGTTCCATATGAGCGGTATCAGGCTATTGCCATGCCCACAAAATGTCGTTAATCAAAAACCTATAAAACGCCATAACTAACCCACAAATTAAGATACAAATCTGCAATTTACAAGCAAAGTACAGCTTATCAAAGTATAAATATGTATGTATCTGTGGTGTAAAACTTTGTTTAAAGTGGTGTGGCCCCACCTTCTAATAGATTTAATGTGCATATCTTATGAATCACTAGACCTATATCAACCAAACATGCTGAGGATAAGTCTTTCAACTACTTCTTCAAACACTGGAAAATAGGTACAATCACCCCACTCTCCATATATATGGTTATGTTGACAGCTACTAACATTGCGATAACTCTACAAGTAAGATACATTTTACATATTAACATGCTTCTGAAGGGCTTCATAGGAGACGTCGTAAATTGGGAAGATTCGGGAAAACCCTATATCGCACTACTTTACCAATTCTAACCAAATTTTGTGTATAATCTAATTTTGACATTCATAACTTACGTTTAGAAAATTGGCGAAGTGGGTCTACAGCAATATATCATAATTCTCCATATAATTCTACCACTTTACAGTACATACATATACAAATCGAGAGCCAATGACGTTGTCGAAAGAATGCTTCAGAAAACATCTTTTTCTATAAATAATATGTCCTGATGCTAAAAATAGATAATATTGGTTCAATAATAAACCTAGCCTTACCGCCCCTAAGCCTTACCATTAACCTAATATACGAATTTAAAACTGGTGTAGGCCTTATTCTAAATCCCATATCCCTAAAATAATGATTTCCGATTATTTGGTTGACTTTTCCCACTCAACCAATGGGGTTAATTTAATGTATTGGTATTGAGAGAAAAACACCAACCAGAGGAAACCACATTAAAGTAAGGTTGAAAGTCAAAATCACTATATTGGGTATATTGGGTCTAGGAGAACGGGTGGACTGATTGCATTAATGTTTAAAAGACTCAAGTATACTCCAGAGCTTGTTCCCATGTATGTTTATGAATATAACTCACATACTGATTGACGTATTTAGCATAAAGTCTACTAGAATGCTGAAAATCATTATATGTGGTACAAAGCAGCCAAGGTAATTCGAGGGCCATTTTACACACACTTTCGGCATTCAACTGCTAGACTAGTGCAGAAGCCTTTAAAAATGATAAAAAAAAGAAGAAGTTCATAGTAGGTTTAAACCCATCTAATAAAAAGCTAAAATTACAAACATGAAGGGTAAAATAATTTACGGGCGATGTCGGGAAAATGAAAGGATACAAACGGTTTATGTAAACTTCTGGAAAAACTATGAGTTCTAAAGAAAAAAATACGGCGCATAATCTCAAAGTTTATGCGAAAAATTCAAATAACCAAGTTTTTGGGTTTTTTATTTTTATCTTGCACAAAAGACAATCTTCTTTCACAAAATGTGGTGAAAAGTTATCTTCTTATTTACCAAACACACTGTCTTTTTTAAATTTAAAATTATTATTTTTCTCCTTTATTTTGACTTTATATTGAAAAAAAAAATCCTAATTTTCAATAAGGATCCTCAAGTCAAAATTTAAAATTTTTTTTTAAATCAGAAAGCTTGTTTTTTCGTTGAATTCTATACTTTCTGATGGTATAAAAATGTATACGTTACTATGGTAAATTTTTTCCAAATATGAATAAAGAAGAGACAAGGATTGAACATACCTATTATTTTGAAGTAGCAACAGTAAAAAAGCAGTTTTAAATCGTTTTGTAGGTTTTTATTTTATTTTTTGAGAAAATTTGTCATAGTAATGTATTTAATTTTTATACCATCAAAAAGTAGAGATTTTAGCGAATATAAAGCCTGGTGACCTTTTAAAAAAATCTGATATTTTGATATGAAAATTTTTCATTGACAATTATGTTTTTTTTCCGATATTAGGTCAAAATAGAAGAGAAAAAATAAATATTTTTAATTAAAAATACAGTGTGTTTGGGACATAAGGAGGTAAGTTTACAACAAATTTGGTGAAAGAAAAAACCTTTCAGTACAATATAAAAATAAAAATCCCAAAAACTTGTTTATTTGTATTTTTCACATAAATTTTGAGCTTTTCTGAATTAATTTATAAATAAATGTTATGTATCTTTTCGTTACCTACAACATTGCCATACTACTTTCATAAATAATACTACTTTCATAAAAAAACATAAATTCAATCCCGCCCCTCCCCTTCCGCTTTCGAGCTCAGATAACCCGTAAATTATTTTTATACTCTCGCAACTTGTTGCTACAGAGTATAGTAGTTTTGTTCACCTAGCGGTTGTTTGTATCACCTAAAACTTATCGAAATAAATATAGGGTTACATACATATGTATATATAAATAATCAGTATGAAGAGACGAGTTGAAATCCGGGTGACTTCGTTCGTCTGTGCAAGCTGTAACTTGAGTAAAAATTGAGATACCTTTATGAAACTTGGTACACATATTTCTTGATACCGTAAGACGATTGGTATTTCAGATGGGCATAATCAGACCACTGCAACGCCCACAAAACGCCATTAATCAAAAACAAATAAATTGCCATAACTAAGCTCCACAACAAGATACAAGACTCTTATTTGGTACACAGGATCACATTAGGGAGGGGCATTTACTGTTTAAATTTTTTTTAAAGTGGGGGTGGTCCCTGCCCATAATAAGTTTAATGTGCATATCTCCTATGTGAAATCAGGTGACAACCCCGTCCACTCCCCATATAACGGTACTGTTAAAAACTACTAAAAGCGCGATAAATCAAGCACTAAGCAAGCCAGAGACAGTCAATTTTATCTCTTTGATGGTATAAGATTAATTTATGGGAACCACGTTCAAAATTAGATAGTGGGCGTGGCACCGCCCACTTTTAGGTGAAAACCCATATCTTGGGATCTGCTTAACCGATTTCAACCAAATTCGGTACATAATATTCTTCTCATATTTCTATGTTGGCGAAATCGGATTACAACCACGCCTATTCCCCGTATAACATCATTTTAAATTCCATCTGATTTTTTCACTTTCCAGTATCCAAATCAAGCAACAATGATTATACCGGCTTCCTTATTTGTTCCCTTAATGTTTGTTATTTTATATTTTGTTTCCGATGGGTTTCATCCTACTATGCTTTGGTTTTTTTGTTTTCAAAAATTGTCTCCCCTGGTCTATATAGTATATCCAGTATTATACGTGCACTAAATATTCCTAAAATATTTACCGATATATACGCTATAAAGTCAGCTGGAAGTCTGAAAATTTTAAAGTATATAGGGTATTATATCCGATTTTGCACATTATTATCAGGAAAAGATTCTTTTAGAATTTCAATAATTTATCTCAGAGATTGACCAATATATTCGGTAAAAATTCAGCCATCAGCAATATATTCAATATCTGTGAGTTTGAAAAGTTATGGTCCGGTTTTGACAATTTTTAGACTTGAGATGAAAGGTATACTAAGGCACTATTTGTGTAAAGCATTATTCCTATATATTCATTGGTGCTTGATTTGCATAATGTAAAGTGCAGGAGTACGAAGGCTTTTGTCCAACTTCGCCCATTTGCATACTATAACGGGGCATCTTGACGGGCAATTAAAGATTGATAAATATCTAAATGGCTAGCAGTATTGCCAATGGAGACTGCTCATTGCTACTGGTTAGCAATTGATGTCTAAAAAAGTTTCATGCCGTATATTGCTAGCAATGAACTGTCATTTTGGCGGTTTTCATTTGCACCCACATTTTGAAGAGGCAACATGTACATGTATAGCTTCGAAGGCATGATGCCAGCAAAGATGAAATGCTAAAGTCTTATCTTTTGTTGCGTATTTTGCAACTTAGCAAAGTAATATTCAAAACATAAATTTTAACAAAACATGGCAATAGTAATTAAATACATATGGTACATAGTATGTTTGTAAAATATATGTATAATTAATATTTTAATCCTAATTGTTAACATATGTAAATACCATTGCTCATATTTAATTAATGAATTGGTAAATAAACTTTATATGCAACAATTATTTAAGTCTTAAAATATGAAATCTTATTTTTCCAAAATATACATATTCATACATTTACATATACAAGTATGTATTCTTGAGATATGCAATTTTACCTAAAGGTGAGCGGTGTTACGCTCATTGTCCAATTTTGCACTGGTTCCTAAAAAGTCTTTCCGTGGCATCTTGCTGTGAAATTGTATGTTTCTGACGTATTTTTTATTGAGTTATCTTACATCTAATAGTTTTCCACATACCCGTTGTATGGATAGACTGACATATTCGAGTATAAAAGTATGTACGCTTACAATATACGGTGTAATATACGCTATAAATTTACTGTGTAGCTGTACATTTTTTAAGCAACAAGTGTATTGCGTATATACCATAATGGTTTCCATCTATTGTAGTTAGAGGGTTCACTGAGTTTTCTCTTAGAAAATACGAAACGAAGAAAATATTATAAAAGATATAAATATTATCACTGTATCA